GATGAAATGCGGGTTTCCCTTCTCTGGCTGGTTCCTGCCCGACACAGATTCTGGCTGGGACAGGTTTTACTGTGTGTGGGAGGTGGGTAGGGATGAGATGGGAGGGGCTTCAAAAAGCTCGTGGAAAATTCCAGTGCCTTTGAATTCCATTTGCCCACACATTCTTTGGAAGCACCCTCTTGTCCATTAAACCCCCCACGACGAGCTCACTGCCAAGGGGTTGGTTCCGACTCGAAGTGACACCAGTTCAAGTTTCTAAGACGATAAATCCTGATGGGAGCACAGGGCCTCGTCTGTCTCCAGTGGGAAGCTGGTGGGTCCGAACTGCTGAACTTAGGGCGAACGGCCCACAGGGACACTAGTATCTATCTCATGGGCACGTGTGCAAATGGGAGACGAAGATTCCTGGGTGCTTCTTCTGTCTAGCTAAAAAATCCCTCTGACTCAGAGGGTCCCAAAGGGTCACCCACCCTGCCCTGCTCAGGGCCCTGGCCAGACAGCCTGGTGGGTGCTTGCCACCCAACAGTTTCCTAGGTAACTTGGACGGGTTGGGAGCCAAGAAGCGCTGCTGCCGGGTGGGGCAGCCGGTGGGTTGGCTGTGCCAGCAGGAGAGGACTGGGCCCCTGACCACGCAACACAGACCTGCCACTGTGAGACTCCATTAGCAGGCTGGGTAGAGAAGTCCCAGGAAAATCCAAGTTTTCTGGGGACCATCAAAGTGGGCGATGGACTCCAGGCATTACATTAGGGGGACATGCCCACATGAAGAAGTGGATTAAAACATACATAAAACATACCCACTGCCCAATCGAGTCAGTTCCGACTCATATCGACCGGGCGTAGGACAGAGCGGAACTGCTCTGTAGGGATTTCCAAGAGTATAAATCTTTATGGAAGCAGGCAGCTTCCTCTCCAACCCCCCACCCCCCCCAGGAGCAGCTGGTGGGTTTGAACCGCTGACCTGTGGTTAGCACCCAGTTGCTAGCCGACAGTGCCACCAGGATGCCTTAAGGACAACCCGGGCAGTCGAGAAACTTGACCTTCCCCCTGCATTTCATAAAACGGGGGCTGCCAAGGGGGGGACGGAGGACGAGGTCAGATGCAGATGAGCAAGGCCAGCAGGCGCAATTCGCTTCCTGATTTGGAGGCTGGCTCAGACCAGGACCCTTGCTGAGCTCTGCCCTGTTCTGCGTGCGCTCACACAATGGCCTCGCTATGGAGAGGACAGCGCTTGAGGGAGAGCGGCTTTTTCTGGCAGCGGAGCCCCTCAGGAGCCTCTTTGTTCAGCTGGGCACTGAGCATCTGGAACAAAGAGGAGCCTTTGTAGACGGTGGATCTGGGGATTAAGTCTCCTGCCTGTGCTGGCAGTAAAGGGAACATGCGAGAAATGAGTGCAAAGGGCACCAAAGGGCACGGCACTGCCGGGTGGAGCTCCAGCGAGGCCTTGACCCGAGGACTCGGCCCACCAGTGTCTCATCCTCATACCGGGGTCCCGGGGTAGGGGCGTGCATGGTGGTGTCCGCTGACATGGACTGGTTTGGCTTGGTTTGGTTTGAACAGGCGGGCCTTGGAACACCTAAAAGCAGACTTGCAAATTTCCAGCATCACTGAAAAGATGAGACTGCATACCGCTCCGTTTCCTTGCACAACCCAAGTGCTATGTTTTCCCTCTTTGCAAACGGGGAGACGGTTCCCAGCGCGGTCCCTCAGCATGTGGCCCTTGGCCCTTTGGCATTGGGATCCAGATTCCCAGGCCCAGCCTCAAGTCTAGGGGATCAGACACTGCTTGGGGTTGGGGCCTGAGGAGCTGCGTGAGCCTGTAAGTGCCCGGTGAGTGCTGGGAGCCCTGTGTCTCGAGCAGGGCTTCTCAACCGGTGGGTCGTTTGATTCATAACATCAGCAAAATGACAGTGATGAAGAAGCCACGAAAATAACTGTATGGTTAGGGGGTCACCACCACGTGAGGCACTGTATGAAACGGTCGCGGCACGAGGAAGGTTGAGAACCACTGGTCTAGAGGATACTGTCATTGCGACACGGCCTGACCTAGTCTATACTGGCTGAACAAAACTAATGATCAAGCTGAAATAAAAAGTCAGACCCAGGGAGGATTAAATGGCGGCTTGCGTGATGTTGGCAACTCTCCTTTTGAATTGTTAGGTGTTAGTGGTTTGGGTTGTGGACCGAGAGGTCAGCGTTTCAAAAACATGGGGCTTTCTGATCCCGTCTAGTCACAGACTTGGAAACTCACAGGGTCAGTTCTATCCTGTCCTAGGGAGTCTCTGGAGGCAATGAGTTTGGTTTTGGGCTTTTCTATCCACTCCAGGCAAGCCCTGAGCGCTTGGGGTGTGTGTGTGTTTCTGCTCAGAACGGGCCTGTTTTACTTGTTTACAAAGAGGAGGTTGGGGTGGGGGGCGCCCGGCTCTGTGGTCTCGGAGCGGCTTTTGGATGTTCAGGGGAACAAGATCCTCTGACAAACCCGTTGCCACGCCCGGCCAGCTTACCA